GCATATAGGAAAATAGTCAGAGTTGAGCAAAAACCATCTAAGGAGCTAATCAAGGACCAGCTTTCGCTGTAGCAAAGCTTTTCTGGGGATAAACACCTACAATTCTAAGAATGGCCTCTCTCACCTGTAGGTTCCCCCCCCCCCCCAGCAAGACACTAGGATGGCTGCGGGGACAAGACAGGTTACTTTAGACCCACTTTGAAATAATGCAAATTGACACTATTTATTTTTGAGGCTAGGTCATAAAAGGCCAGGTAGGTTCACTGGGATACTCCTGGAGCTCTGAACAGAGTCTGATTGCCCTAAGGCCATTATATTATGAGCAAGTCAGAGCACAAAGAGAAGCTATAGGTGGGAACTCAGGCCAACAGCCCTAGCTAAGACCAGCCATGGAGGCTAGTGCAGGTGCCAGAAAAAAATCCTCCTAAAGGATTTTATGGGAGGAACACAAAGGCACAATGCCCATGTGCCTCTGGTCACATAAAATAATATTTACCAAAATGAATTCCAGGAAATGGAAACAAGAGGTTTTTCTTTTTTTCCTTCTATCCTGTTTGTTGGTTTATCTGTCTTTAAGGGTAACAGGGAGCACAGAAATGGAGGGACAAAGGATGAACAAATATAGCAGTGTATTTGTTCAATGTAGACATACATTGAAAAGAAACGATACAACTTGTGGATAGGGATGGGAGGGAAAAACTGGAAATGAAGGAAAAGGTGATATTGTTAAAAAAGAAATGTACTCTTTTACTTATGTGATGGTAAGCCTTCTGTATATCACCTTTATAATAATAAAAATATAAAAAATCCTCCCAAATGAAGGCCTATAAATCATGAAATAAACACAAGCCATCCCTACTACATCTTGTCCATGTTTCTGACCCACAAAATCCATTGGCCTTCTAAAACTGATTATTTAAGCCAATAAATTTGGAGGGATTTGGTGTAGCACTAGCCCAGAGAATCCAACCAACACACAGTCATATAAGGGAAAAGGAATTTATTGCCAGTTGAGGCTGACAAGGCCACTTCCTCCATGGGAGAGGGAGAAATGGCACCATCCTTTGTTCAGGTCCAAATTTATGGTCAAGGGGCTAGGGCTGGGAAGTATGGGAAGTCCTCTGTGTGTGTGTGTGTGTGCAGCTGAACACTATCTGATTGTATCAGTTACAGTTGGCAGCATTCCCCTGATGCAGCTGGGGTATAGGGGTAAAACACCGCTCCAGGAAGTAAAGTGGGAGAAAGGGCCATGGTTGAAAGCCAGCTGTAATTAGGCCCTGCCCAGATCAACTGGTTTTGTGGGAGGGTCTGAAATGGAGGGTATGCTAATATTCTTCCCTTTGCTGTTTAGTTTTTTTGGGGTCTGGTCGTGAGGCCTGAACTCTGGGCCTGGGAGCTGTCCCTCAGCTCTTCAGCTCAAGGCTAGCACTCTACCACTTGAGCCACAGTGCCACTTCCAGCTTTTTTCTTTTTGCTTATGTGGTGCTGAGGAATCAAACCCAGGACCTCATACATGCAAGGCAAGTGCTCTACCACTGAGCTACCTTCCCAGCCCTCCTTTGCTGTTTAATAAATATGGATACTGGGCCAGGAGTATGGGCGGAGGTTGTTTCTTCTGGAGCTGTTTCCTGCTGAGGACCTGAGATGGAGGGCACACTAACAGCTGCAGTTCAGCAGAGCTCAAACTAGTAGGCCTAGGAGACATGTTTTATTTGAAACAAGTGCCTATGACTTCTTGGCTGCTACACGCTTCTTAATCTTCCCAGTAACTTGGCTGATTAAATAGCCTGAACAATTTTTCTCCATGTTCTTTTTTTTGGGGGGGGGTGAGGGGGGTCTGGTCGTGGGGCCTGAACTCTGGGCCTGGGCGCTGTCCCTCAGCTCTTCAGCTCAAGGCTAGCGCTCTACCACTTGAGCCACAGCGCCACTTCCGGCTTTTTTTCTTTTTGCTTATGTGGTACTGAGGAATCAAACCCAGTGCCTCAGGCATACAAGGCAAGCGCTCTACCACTGAGCCACCTTCCCAGCCCTGAACAATTCTTCTTAAAAGAATAAAATTGCTAAAAAAAATTATGGAAGTGAAGAAATTGGTAAGATTTTTAAATAAAGTGAGAGCTAGATCCTGAGGGGTGAGCAACAAAACTTGGTTTTACACTGATAAATTATGAAGAACATAAATTTCCAATTTGACAGGTACGTGGGGCAATAAAGCTTAGAGTGGAAGACCTGGAAAAGGAGGGGCCAATTCTAGAAGGAAACCAATTTTGGTTTGACTACAGCTATTTTGTAACTTCAAAGTTTCCTCTCTCAGTATAAAGCAAAACACATAAAAACCACTAGACAGAAACAAAGAGCATGAAGATACATGTCTTATGTGCTGACTTTAAGTTCTAACCTAGGAAAGCCCAAACCTAACACACCACAAAGTTTGCCATAAACTAGCCCCAAGGCACAGTTATCATCTTAACAAATCACACTCAACAGCCATCATGTTATTACCAGTTCATTTCATTTTTATTCTCTAGTCTCTGCTTTGCATGTGCTATTCTCTCTGCATAGACTGCACTTTTTTTCTTCTTCAAATGTGCCAGATATAGAAAGTGTTTCCCACTTTTGCCAGCCATAGTCAGTCACTTCCTCCATGTATCCCTATAGTTACTGAACATACTGCACTTGTAGCATAATAATTTTACATTCTGTTTTTTTCCATTGGCTTATGAGCTCATTTAAAGTGCTGTGTCATTCACATTTGTAATGTATTTACTTAGACAATTAAGGCTTTGGGGGTGAAAGTGTAGAAGATTTCTGAAGATTTCATCACATTTTTCGAGCAATCTTCAATCTTCCCTGAAGCTCTAGCTCATAGCTTTAGCTGCAATGTTGGATTACCTATGGATCTTTCCAAACTCTTGTTCCAAAAAGCGGGCCCCAGACAACACTATGTCTACAGCTCGCCAGGTAATTCCAGCTGCATTCATGGTTGAGCATTTCTGCCACGTCTCCAGCCAGAGCCTTTGCAGCAGCACCCAGGAAAGTTGGCTGGTGTATGCTCAATTGTTAGTAGACAACCCCACTGCCTAGTTTTAAGTACGCGCACAGGTATTCTGGACTCGGCTCTTCTTTCAGGAGCACATTTGTGCTGAGCCCTTCTTGGGCTGCAACCCCGAACGTTGAACCAAACTCGGCCTCTTTGGTATAAATTTCAGAATAGTCAAGACGGAAGCAGAGATCGACATGCATTTCCTAGGACAGCCCTAGAGTAGAAGAAGTAAAAGAATGTGCCATCACATGCAGGGTACTACTTCGGGTAAGTGCAAGCGCGCCCACTTAGGAGACCACCCTACCACGTCCACCGAAATCCAGCACCTCCAGCCTCTTTCACAGGAGCAGAGACAAATGCCCATTCTTTGAACGTCACATTAACGCGCGCCAGCCCCTGAGAACTCTGGGAAGCGTAGTCCGTGCAAAGGCAACGCATTGATCTCAAGCGCGGCTGCCAAGGATCTCTGCGCCTGCGCACTGTTTCCCGACCCGAAGCGGCCCGGTCTTCCGGGGTCCCGAGGACTCTGTGCCGCCGGAGGTGAGGGCTGCGTGTCCGTGTCTTCGCCGAGCCGAGTGGGCTCAGCGTCAGAGAGAAGGGGACGCTGGGGACTTGGGGGGGGGGAGCTGGAGGGGCGGGACGGGGTGGCGCGGGCGGAGCTGACTGAGTGCTGGCATCTTGGCTCGCCGAGGTACTGACCCGAAGTTGTGCCCGCGGTGCGCGTGTGGTGGGTGTGGTCTCCCGCTGTCCACCTGCAGCGTATCAGATCCTGCAGTGCAAGTTGGCACTGGGGGGTCTCCCTCCTCTCCTGCGATCCCATCCTCCCATAATGGGTGCTTGGTGGAACTGACCCTAAATCCAATCCCTTCTCGTCCCCCAGAAGCACCCTACATTGTCTCCTTGGCCTGCGCCCCAGCGCGTGGGGTGGGGTGTGGGGGGGGGTCGTGGAGAAGATAGAATCGCAAAAAACACTCTCATGAAGGAAATAGCAACGCCTTGGAGAAGTGACTAGAAGGGTCTAGAAAGGTTCACTGAAGCCAGCCCCGGCACAGTGTCACACTGATAACCAGGAAGCAGGTTGGATTGTTCTAATGTGAGAAAGACAGCTATTCTAGAACGAGGACCAGTGGCAGTCCGGGAGGTGTGGAGGTAGTTCCGAAGCAAGCTGTGATGGACCTGAATCTTGTGTTTGTGGTGAGGAATGGATACAAATGACATTGCATAAGAAGAGTCAAAGGACCTGGTATCTAGATTTGCAGAGAAGGAGAGTGTGGTAAAAGCATTTGAATTTGGACTATTTGGTCGAATACTAGAACATCGGATAAAAATATATAGCCAAGAAGAGGAGTTACAGGGGGAGTTGTGCAGAGGAGGTCTGGAGCTGATGGCAGAATGCACAGTTCAAAAATTGTAGTCATGCTGGGCGCCCATGGCTCACGCCTGTAATCCTTGCTACTCAGGAGACTGATCTGAGGATCACGGTTCAAAGCCAGCCTGGACAGGAAAGTCCGTGAGACTCTTACCTCCAATTAACCACCAGAAAACCGGAGTGGCACCGTGGCTCAAGTGGTAAAGCACTCACCTTGAACTGAAGAGCACAGGGACAGTGCCCAGGCCCAGAGTTCAAACCTCACAACCAACAACAACAAAATTAATTGTAGTCCTTTGCAAAGATAAGTGAGTTTGGGATGAGTTGGGATTAGATTTGGGGACCATCGTTGTAGGGGTGGGAAAGGGCATGCTGAATGTGGATGGACTTTCTCAGGCACAGAAAGAAAAACATTGAATAAAGACTGATTTATGGGCAGCATTCATATTTGTAGGGCAAAGTGGGGAAGAGCCAGAGAGATTGCAGTTGTAGTGTTAGGAGGGCAAATTGGGCTAGTGGGTGCCAGTGGCTTATAATCTTATCTACTCAGGAGTCTGAGATCTGAAGATTGAGGTTCAAAGCCAGCCAGGGAGGGCAAGAAAGTCTTTGAGACTCTACAAGTAAGTGCTAAAAAATGTTGGAAGTGGAGCTGTGGCTCCAGTGATAGAGCACTAGCCTTGAGCTAAAAGGTCAGGGACAGTGCCTAGGCCTTAAATTCAAACCCCAGAACTGGTGCGCGCGTGCGCACGCACACACACACACACACACACACACACAAAGTTGGGCTAAATGCAGTATCATAGTGCCTGTAAACCGTTGAGGAGGCAGATCTTGTCAAAACAGTCTAAAGCTGTGAAGAAATAAAAATTTAATTACATTTGAAATATGTTAGTAAGTTTCAAGCGTATAATGTCAGATGTGTGGGAAGAAAAGAATACTGTCAGAAAATGCCAATTAACAGGCTCCAATGACCAACTGAGACTATGCAATGACCAACTGAGACTATGTCCTTAGCTATCACTCTCTATTTTCTCCCAAGGGGACTCAAACCCTAATCTGTCCTACTTATGTTAAGAATATATATATATATATATATATACACACACACACACACACATACATATATACACACACACACACATATATAAAACATAGGTGTATATATAATTACACCAAATTTTGTGGCATTATTGCGATTTGAATTCAGACCTCATGGTTGTTAGGCAAGCACTCTTCCACTGAGCCCATACCTCCAACCCTTCTGGTTATTTTTTTCTCCAATTTTAGCAAAAAGTTATTTGTGTAACAGGACGAAGAAGGAAGAAATGGAAAAAGGATAAACATTTTCTGTTCCCCATTCAGGAAACAGAAGTTAAATACAACGATGGTCTGTTCCTCCAGACCCTGTACATGCCTGAAGACCACTACCCAGGCCCATTGACTGGGGCCCAGGGACCACCTAGATGCATACAACTGCACAGGTGAGTCACATGAGCTAACTCTTGGGAGTGGGGTATGAAAAGCATGGGTCCATACCTCCTGACCATATGCCACCTTAGCCCAGAGTAGGGATTTGATGAAGGGGCCTGTATATGATTCATTCTCTCCCCTGGTCTTGATATGTCCAGAATGGAAAAAAACAGCCCATCTCCAAAGCAAGGCTTAAAGGGGAGGACTGTTAGATAAAGTTTAGACAATCTTAGAAGTTTAGGAGCTGGTAAACTGCAAGTGTAGTTACTCAGGAGGCTGAGATCTGAGGATCAGGGTTTGAAGCCAGCTCAGGGAGAAAAGTCTCTGTGAGGCTCTTGTCTCCAATTAACCACCAGAAAATCAGAAGTGGTGCTGTGACTCGAAGTGGTAGAGTGCTAATCTTGAGCAAAAAGAGATCAGGGACAGCACCTAGACATTGAGTTCAAGTACCACGATCAACAAAACAAAATGAAGTTTAGAACTAGAGGGATTGGTAGGAGATACATATTTGACAGGAAGATGGTCATGTTCCAGCCAGTGTATACACTGAGGCACATATGCAGCGCTCAGGTGCACTGTGACCTGTGTGAACTAAGTACTGATTGGCATTGGAAGATGGACGGCATGAGTTCACATGCCACATGGTGTCTTGGCCAAGAGGGGATGAACATGGACATGACCTGTGCCCTCCCCTCGCCCTAACATATCTAGGGAAAAGCAAGACTTAAAGGGAAGAATTGTAAATATAGTTTAGGCAAGCTTAGCATTAGTTGGAACAAATCCAGGGAAGTCAGGACAGAGGAACAGCTCTAGTTCCCAGTCAAACACCACTTACAGTACCAAGTGATTCTGTGAACTCAGTCGTAGGACCACATCTGAGTTACTTGAAGGCTAAAAAAAAAAAAAAACCCACTAGTGCCATGTAATAGCTTGAATAGGATTTTCTGTCTCCCGTCCTCGCCTTCTTCCTATTCCTCCTCATCCATCTTTGACTTGCAGGGATGTCCAGTAGACAAGGCAGAGGAGAGGTGAAAGAAAGCTTCTACCATGGCTAAGAGACAGATTTAAAGAGAAACAAGTTCCAAAGCTAAACACTTTCTAAACCTTGTGATATTTACCTATCTGGCTTATCAGTCTCTGTCACCAGATGAGGGATGAGAGAGTTCCCTCAGTTTTGTGATGTTCGGGCAAAATCACAGATCACTGCAATTCATACATGAAAACGGTTTTAAGCCTCTTACAATAAGGAGAGTCTCACACCATGTTAGCAAGGATTTTTATTAGTGTAACATGACAAAGTAGGGAGAAATGGGGAATGAGTAATTTTACTCGTAGCTAATAATGTGACAAGAATACAAGGATACATAGCTAAGTATCCTTTCTTCACATAAAAGAAAAGACATGTAGAGTCTGGAAGAACATGTATGGGCTTACTGAGTGACCTGTCATGTGACCTCCCAGCCACAGAAACACACCAACATGTGTGATGTTTCTGCCAAAGAAAGTTCATTAGAGACTCAGCATCTTAGTTTTCATTGCAAGGCAAAAACATACTGAATTCCAGACCCTTCTGCAGAAATGCAGATGTCTACTCTGAGTTCACAACAAAGCAGATGTATGTAGTTTAGACATGGTAGATTACCCTTATCTCTTAGGGAAGGAGGGAGGACACACTCAAAATTGAAGGTTCCTGATACAAAGATCAATCAGGAAAGCAGAACTTTTTTTATGAACAGCAGTCTCAGGTTTGTTGTAACCTGTCTGCACACTACCTTTCCTGTTTTTTTTTGCTGTACATGGAAACAAATGCATACGCTGTTTTAAAAACTCAGTATTTTAAAAAAATGTTAGAGGGGGCTGGGGATATGGCTTAGTGGTAAGAGTGCTTGCCTCGCATGCATGAACTCCTGGGTTCACTTCCTCAGTGACACAGAAACAGAAAAAGCAGAAATGACGCTGTGGCTCAAGTAGTAGAGCACTATCCTGGAGCAAAAGAAGCTCAGGAACAGTGCCCAGGCCCTGAGTTCAAACCCCAGGACTGGCCAAAAAAAAAAAATTTAGGAAATAAAAAACACTTGTATTCCATCACTCAAATTCGATTTGCACTTTAATATTTTTTTTCCTTTTTCGGTGCCTTGTGCATGTGTAAATATGCAATTTTCAGATTCTACATCCTTCATTTGATATTTGGTGAAAATATTTTTAGTGTTCTGATTTTTCTTACAATTTTATTAGAAATTATTTGTGCAAGGAGTTTCATTTTGACATGTCTATATATGCCTAAAGTATACTTTATTCATACTCACCCCCTCCATCACTCTCCTCAGAACCCTCTCCCTCTGACTGTGTATGTATGTGCATGCCTGTGTGTGTTTCAGTCCTAGGGCTTGAACTCAGGGCCTGGACCTTGTCCCTCAGCTGTTTTGCTCAAGGCTAGCACTCTACCACTCCAGCCACAGCTCCACTTCCTGCTTTTTTGGTGGTTAATTGGAGATAAGAGTCTCATGGACTTTCCCACTTTGGCTGGCTTCAAACTTCAATCATCAGATCGTAGTCTGTAATCCTAGGATTACAGACATAAGCCACTGATGCCCAGCTCTGACTTTTTTTTTTAAACCAACAAACCATTACAGATAAAGTTTGTTTCCTTCCCAAGTTTTATTTTTGTTCTTTCTCAGATATACTCACAATTTTTAGTGACTATTGTCTCATAAAGATTTTTGAGGCATTATTTATGGCTTAAATTTTTTTTGGTTTATGCAACTTTATTGAAGAAAAATAAATCAGTTATTAGCAGAGCTATTAGTTGATCACTCATCCATTAACAACTTGCATCATTTATTCAGTGCTATATTAAACAGTGTATTGGAAGATAGATTAATAGCTCCAAGCTTCCTAACAATTTAAATGAAAATTATAAAATGTTTGAGACCCTATTTTGGAATTCAAAGGGTGTTTGACTTCCAATTTCCATTCTCTGTAGAACAAGAACAGGTCATTCCTTTATTGACATGCATAAAGTACTTCACATTTTCTGTTCTGCTGATGCTATAAATTCAATACCAATTCTCCAGTCACATCAGTTATGAGCATAATGTATATCATGTAACCTCAAATCTCTAACAGTGGAAGGCTTAAACAAGAATGGATGCTTCAAGAATGTTGTTTCCTTTGATGTGACAACTGAGCATCCATCTCCCTCCCCCTCAGATGGCTTCTTCAGCATATTAGAGCAGTGAGGTTTGGTTTAGTCTCATAACCAAGTTAAGAGTGAAGATATCGGCCACATAATACACATGTTCCATTTTTTAAAAAAAATTTCTGAATCTTGGGCAACTGTTCTCTTGTAACTACTTTACAGTTTCTAAAAGCAGTTATTGTCTCATAAAGATTTTTGAGGCATTTATGGTTTAAAATTTTTATTTATTTTATTTTATTTTTTTCTGGTCGTGGGGCCTGAACTCTGGGCCTGGGCGCTGTCCCTCAGCTCTTCAGCTCAAGGCTAGCGCTCTACCACTTGAGCCACAGCGCCACTTCCGGCTTTTTTCTTTTTGCTTATGTGGTGCTGAGGAATCGAACCCAGGGCCTTGAGCATGCAAGGCAAGCGCTCTACCACTGAGCCACCTTCCCAGCCCGGTTTAAAATTTTTATATGAATATGTACAAAAAAGTCTATAACTTCAACTTTTTTGTTCAGTGATTATGTTTTTTTAAATTTCTCTCTGTTGTTAACTGGAGACTCTAGATAATCTTTGGGGGGAATAAATATAGTTTTGTTTTTTTATTTTTTAAGGATTTTTCATTAGCATATAGTTGTACAAAGGAGTTTTCATTTTGTCGTTTCCATACATGCATATGATATACCCCACATCAAACTCACCTCCTTCATTATTACCTCATCCCCTCTCCTCTCTTCTCAAAACAATTCCAACATGTTTCATTGTTTTATTTTTATTATGAAAATACCGTACAGAGGGGTTACAATTACATGGGCAAGGTAATGAGTACATTCTTATCAAGCATTGTTGCTTCCTCCTTTGTTTCCCCTTCCCATTCCTTCCCATCTCCTCCCCTCCCCCCCTGCCGTCATTGCTTTATTTTTATGCATGCTTATAGAGATCACTTTTACATATTCACCCTCTCTATTGGTCCTTCCCTCTCTGGCTGGTCCTCACCCCAACACACTCAACAGAGCCTTTAAACAGGCTATTTTAAGCTGGTAACAACTCAGCTTTGATCATAAAAAGGCAACATTTTCCATGTTTTACTTTTTTTGGGCCAGTACTGGGGTTTGAATATAGGGCCTAGGTGTTATCCCTTGATTTTTCTTTTTATTCAAATCATTGTACAAAGGGGTTTCAATTTAACATGTCCATTTGTATGTACAGTACATCTTGATCCCTTTTCTATCATTTTCCCTCTCTCCTCCCATCTATCCCATCCCCATCCATCTTATATTTCTTGTTCTATTTTCACATATGTATCTAGCTCATTTTAATCCATGCTTCAAGATTTAGGATGGCATTACATTCTGCTAAACTTGTCGTAAGTTGAAAATATAGGTCAAAATGTATTTAATATACCTGACTTACTGAGCATCATAGTTCACTGACTGAGTGTACTGCAGACTAGTTGTTGCCACCATCTCCCCTGCCCAAAAGTCTCATGGCTGCCTGGAAGGGAGCTATAGCTCTGCCCTTCTCTGTATCCCAAGAGTATACAGCATGTGGCCAACCTGGGAAAAGGTCAGAACTTGAAATTCTCCAAAGTCTGATTGCTGCTGAATTCTTACTGCATTCTTCTTATCATAAAGTTAGAAAATGATAGTCAAAATATCACAAGTCAGGACAATCTGTACTATTTACATATATAGATATATAATGACAATTTATATTATATAAAATATATATCATTGATGAGCACTGAAGTTATCTGCATTTTTACCACTAGGCATATTTTCCCTTGTGATTTTTTTCATGAGACTCCAGTCACTTATCAAGTTTCCTTAAACGATTTTTTATTCTAGTCTATTGGTATATTAGCTTTGTGGTTATCTTTCCAAGAAAATCAATCATTATAGTATAAAGTTTCCAGACAAATTTGAGTTCAAATCCTACCTCAATCTCTTACAAAGACTAAGTTCTTAATTTCTATAAATAGCACATACCTTACTGATTTATGAGGATAGAAATAAATTATCTTTACTAAAAGTACTTAGCACGATGCCTGGTAAAGAATAAATATTGAATGTGTTAGTTGTTATGAGTATGTGTTGAATTGTGTTCCACTGTATGGGTGGAACAAATTTCCTGCTTTAGGTGTTGATGGTGTTTCAAAATTTGCTTCATTATTGTTATTGTTATAGAGATTGAGATGATAATGTATGAAGCACATAGGAAGTTGTACATAACCTTAAAAAAGGTTGACATTCATGATGATTAACTAAAAGCCTTGTATATATTCTTACATATTTCCTTGCATAAATTCATAGGAGAGAACAGGTGGGCCAGAAAGTATATATGTTCCAGGTCTTTGTGACAGGTCATAGCAGTCTTTCTAAAGTACAAGTCTAATGTAAGAACATCCAGGCTGCAAGTTCCACCCTCCCCAACTCCCACCCTCATCTCTGCCTGCTTTTCTAGCCTGTTTTCCCCAGCACTACTTACAGCCTGACCTTTGCACTTCTACTGGTTTTTGCACTAGCTCTTTCCACATAAAGACTGACCTCCTTATTTTGAAAAACTTAAGTTCTTCCTGCCTGAAATATTCTACCTTCTCCCTGACAGGAAAATTTCCTTAGGTCTCAGTTTTGCCAGTTTTCTGGTGGTTAACTGGAGATAAGAGTCTTGCAAACTTTCCTAGCTGGGCTGGCTTTGAATCTCGATCCTCAGATCTCAGCCTTCTGAGTAGCTAGGATTACAGGCATGAGCCACCGGCACTTAATTATCCTTTCATGGGTACTTGGTATAAACACTTGGAATAAACATGGTGAAGACATGCTTATTGAGCCATATGGATGAATGAAACACAAGGAACAGTGATCGTATTTCCCTGAATGTAGGAAAGCAGTCAGCAAGACACAAACATATCCATTTCTTCTTCCCAGGACTACATTATCTCCCCCATCCCCAGAAATCCCAGGAATCTATGACATTTTAATTAGGCCCTTGAGACAAATTTAGGTAACTCATATTTAGCCTAAGAGAGTTAGAGTTTAAAAATTCAAAGATAAATAAATCTGGTCTGCATGGAAATTGGAGCCTGCAAGTGGTTCTAGGGGAGTTGAGAGGTCGGAGGGCCAGAGGTTCTATGGTCTTTGCTCATAATGTCACTCACCCATGAATTCGTGCTTCCTAGCACTTTGGTTCCTCTGGTAATGTTGGCTGTGAGCAGGTTATCAGTACCTCCTGATAATCTTCTCAGCTTATTACCCATGTATTGTCTTGACATATTTTAGTTTATGTTCCTGAGGGAGGATGTCATATTTTCATGCCGGCTAACCCTCAGTCTCCTGGTTACTGGTACATCGCCCAGCTGTGACCTAGTCAGTGTAGCTCCAGAACTGAGACACAGAGTCAGTGCCATGTAAATACATGGCTACCCAATGACTACTGTTTCATTTTATCATTGTATTTGTATAGTTGATATACAGAGGGGTTATACTTACATGAGTCAGGGACAATCAGTACAATTCTTTTTGAACCATGTCTCCCTTTCCATTGCTATTTCTCAATCTTTTCCTCCTGTCCCCACCCACAGATATCCAGTTCATTTTCCACATAATGTCTGGTATCACTGTTGTATTTGCTAATCCTTGTTATACCTTTTACGTGTCCTCCCTTACCCTCCCAAATACATGCAAGCTAACAAACTAGACAAAAGGAAATGAAAACAAAAACCACGGCAACTAAAGAATGTCTCTTGTTTCCTTTTCTTGGAGTTTATTTCACAGAATATTATTTTGTATGATCATCTTTCCATAGCTATTGAGCCTTTGTCCACCACTCCTGTGCTTAACCTTTGGCCTCTATATGTTAATGACTATATAATCTATCATGTTTATTTATTTATTTTAGTCAAGGGCTACTATTTTAGCAAGGGCTATTGAATGAAACATTTTTTTCCTTGAAGAAGCTAGGTGTTTCTTTTGATGTGTTAATTGTGTATGATTTTGTCTAATAAACATGCAGGTCAAGGTTGAATATGAATATATAAAGATAAATCTTCTCACTACCAGGAATGGAACGCTTCCCTAAGGATCCTGGTCACACAAGCTCCATGTTTTGATCCAGCTTGCTTTCTAAGCTCTGGGATGAGTTAGAGTTGCTCCTAGCCTTATTTTACTGTGTCTGCTCTTTTGTAAGGTGTTGAGAAGGGGGAGGGGGTTTTGTAGCCCACTGAGTATATTGAGAATCCTTGTTTTACTGGTTTAAAGGCTTTAAAGGCTACAGACCAGGCCTTTCCATCCCACACCTCTGCCTCACTAGGACTTGGTCCTTTGCCTGTTGAGCACACGAGGAAATGGCTGCTGTGTCTGCGCCTGCCCATTGCCAGGTAAGGTGGACTTTTGTGTTTCTGAAATACTTTTAGACACCTAAATGTCACCTTTCTTTATCTTGGAGCTTCTTTGATCAGACCCCAGCAGGCAGATGAAGGGTTCCAAAGGAATACTTTCCTATTTGACTTGAGGTGTCTTTCAGTGACCTTCTTTTGCCTTGAGCATATAGCCTCTGGTCTGTCACCAGGTACAAAATACCCACAGTCTTTGTTCTGAGATTACTTTGACTAAAAGCTGACAATGCAGGTCTGACTGGAACAGGTTTTTTTTTTTTTTTTTGGTTAGGGGTGGGGAGCAGTAGGCTGGTTGTGGTCCTCTCTTTCCCTTTAGTGCATTAATATCTGGACAGAGAGCCCCAGTGTTCCAGGGCTAGGCTAGGCCAGGGAAGTGGTACATGTTATAGAGCCCCTCAATGAGGCTGGCCAGACCCTGAAGAGAGTCTCAGTGGATAGAGAAAGAAATTCAGCTAGCTCTATTCCAGGACACAGACTTGAATTCCCTGCTTCTATACCAGAGCTTCTGAAGGCTCATCTGGGGTTCTTGAGCAGGGGTGTGTGTGTGGGGGGGGTGTTAAAGATGAAGGCTTACAGAATCCCAGAGCATTTGAGTGAAATGATGTTGGCCCTAAAGAGCACCTAATCAATATGATCCGTCTTATATAAAATCATCACATGTATATAAAATGGACAATTGTTGATATTTAAATAAGGTCATAGATTAGATAGTAGTTTAATATCAGTGCTATTTTTTCATTTTTATAATTATACTGCGATTACACTGAAAATTCCTTGTTTTTACAAAATATACACTTGAATGTTTAGGAGTAAAAGAAAGTGATGTTTACAAGTTTCTCAAGAAGTTCAGGGAAAGAAATAGGAGAATGTATATAAAAAGGACAGAAAGACAAAGCAAATGTTGAACATAATAACATTTCAAAACCTGAGTGAATGGTATGTGGGAAGTTTTGTCCTAGTCTTTCCAATTTTCTGTAATCTGAAGAAGAGCTTCTGGATGTCAGCTATAGGTAGTGGTGTAGGATGTGGCCCACACTCCTCTGCAGGGTGATGGGATCATGACCACAAACTTCAGGCCTTCATGATTGAGCCACTTTCCCCAATTCCTCAAAGCCCTACTCTGTCAGAATCATTCCCAGCTCCTGCCTTCTCCACATTCTCCAGGGCTGTCACCTTTATGACAGCTCCGTGTGGCCCAAATAAAAAGAAGAGCTATAGGGCTGGGAAGGTGTCTCAGTGGTAGAGTGCTTACCTCTCATGCACGAAGCCCTGGGTTCAATTCCTTAGCACCACGTAAGCAGAAAAAGGCAGAAGTGGCACTGTGGCTCAAGTGGTAGAGCGCTAGCCTTGAGCTGAAGAGCTGAGGGAGAGCGTCCAGGCCCAGAGTTTAGGCCCTATGACCAACAACAACAACAAAAGAGCTATGAGTAAGGGAAGCTGTCATTGTATTTTCAGGAATCAGTGACATTCGAGGATGTATGTGTGATTTTCACGGATGAAGAGTGGGAGTATCTGGTTCCTGTGCAGAAGGCCCTTTACAAGGTGGTGATGCTAGAGAACTACCAGAACATTGTCTCTCTGGGTAAGGAGCTTCCTATGAGGAGTTTGGACCTATACTGTGCTAGTGTGGACCTGGGAGACTGAGAAATTGTTTCTTCCCCAGCTTGTATTCTGAGCCACCTAACAAATAAAAGAGCCAAAGGATATAGTTTAGGTATGCAGCAGCAATGGCTTTTTTTTTTTTTTTTTTGCCAGTCCTGGAGCTTGAACTCAAGGCCTGGGCACTCTCCCTAAGCTTCTTTTGCTGAAGGCTAGTACCCTACCACTTATTGTATTGGGACAAAAGAGTATATATATATATATATATTTTTTTTTTTCTGTTTATATGGTACTAAGGAATCAAACCCAGGGCTTCATACATGCTAGGTAAGCACTCTACCACTAAACCACATTCCCAGCCCAGCATTAGCTATCTTAATGCTGAATCCAAGCACTGGACAGTTGTGCTTCCTGAGATGTTAGGAATGCTGGACCACCACAGGCCTCCTGACATAGCAGCCTGGCTTGTCAAAGCAGGAAGGGCAGGAGACAAGGTAGAATGTCTGCTAGAGGTAGGGAGCTGCCTCTCCAGATGCAGCAAGCACAAGTCACATATGCCCGGGTACGACGGACCAGCTCGGCCGGAGCACTGGGACCGACGGGACAGGGATCTCGGGATAGGTGGGCAAAGGAGTCGGCGAAGTGACAAACAGACACAGACTCAAAAGAGTTGCATCTGAGTGTATCTTTATTGAGGAGAATTAACATTTTTATACAGTGTGTGATTGTGACATAGATTCTTTGTTTATTTAAACACGTAATCAATTGTTTTTTAAAGGCAAAGCATTGATGAATTACATGAAAATTAATGACTATCCCACCAACTGTTTAAGCTAAGTGGTGTGAAACAAGTCTAGCATATTGTTTAATAGAATACGTCATCTATTCAGCCTTTATGTTTAATAATTAACAAACCTAAGACAGGGCTGTACTTACATTATACTCTTTTTAATTTTATTTTTATTCAACTATTTTCATCTTTATAAGCTCCTGTATAAGGAAATGGTTCTTGGTTGGTTCAGGAAATATGTTACTAACTTTATATATTTTTTTTTTTTTGGGTCCGGTCGTGGGGCCTGAACTCTGGGTAGGCTAGCGCTCTACCACTTGAGCCACAGCGCCACTTCCGGCTTTTTGCTTTTTGCTTATGTGGTGCTGAGGAATCAAACCCAGGGCCTCGAGCATGCAAGGCAAGCGCTCTACCACTGAGCCACCTTCCCAGCCCCACTAACTTTATATTTTGTGTGAAAACACCATCTATTCCCTATAACGTAAGTTGGACTAAACTTAATCATAACTGTTGGGAGAATCTTTTTTTTTTTTTTTATAATCATAGGTCCCTTCTTTTTTAGAACTCTCTGAACTACTGGGATAACTCTTTCTAACTTAGTTTAATTTGTTCATTTTGTCTGTTGGACATATCTAGAAATTTTAAGTCTCTATATTTACTATGCATGAGCTGCAAAACTGCTTGTGAAGTTGTAGGAGTTTTTGGAGGCAACGTCACATCAGATGATAGATTGATTGGGGGATTGCCCACATTTAATCTTTGGCCTTAGTCTTTATTACTTAGAGAAGCCATCTCTATTGGACTGGAAAAATACAACATGCTCTGTTCGCGGATCAATAGAAAAATAGCCAAAATGAGAATAAAGGCAATGAATGTACAGCCAAGAAGAATATAGTAAGAATAAAGGTAGAGGCTATAAAGGTGCAGCCAAGTGTATGGGAAGCCTTGACCCAACACCCCCTTCCTGGGGGCATGCTTCCTTGAAGCTCTTTGTCCAACACAATCTCTCACGCAGACTCCGCAGAAGGTGGCGTGGTACCCACTGGTCACAGAAAGATGTCCACTCAGCTGGAAATACCAGGAACCACTGGAAGTGCAGAAACTTAAGCGTTTGACCTTGTTTCTCTGGCTAGAGACTATTCATTGAATTTGCAGCCCCTTATTCTGTTGTCAATGTCAAATCAGAAGCCATCTATCCACCACAGGCAGCTTCATGGAAGTGCTCCGCCCACCTGCACCGGCCTCTCTTTGCTGAACCCAGCTAAGAACTCCTTGCAGACACATCTTCATGACTGCTTTGCCTGCTGTGATCTCTGCTCCTTTCCAAACGCTTGCTTCGGCAGCTTCTTCTCCATTGTGCCTCTCGGACTGTGTTCCCATGGTGGTTGGATACTGAGCTGCTTGTTAGAGGAGGAAACAAGAGTTATTGTATACGATGGCAGGCCTGAATTGGCCTGGAGGCAGGACAAACGCTCTCCCAGGTGGGACTTGTCAGGGCACAGGGCAGGCATCCTGCCACTGGGCCCTGGGTCACTGTGGTGAGCAGCAGTCACACTGGAACTTCTCTTTCTCAGAGAACAACGGGTTAAGTCTGACCAGATTGTCTTTTTTAGGGAATCCAGTTCTCCACCAACTCCTGGGGGATGCCTGGGGCTTGAGTCTATGCCAGGCTCCACTCCTGTCCAGAACCTTTCATTCCAAAAGTTTCAACCAAGTGTATGTGGCATGGCATTTCTTCCCTTTTTATTTTTTAATTGAAGCTCGTGAATGTCTTGGTGCACAGAAGAGACAGATTTAAAGATCAGCCGGAAAATGATTGGAAATATAAGAATAAGAATTAAGAGAATTGATCCGACAATAGCAATTATAATTATTACATGAATCCAATCCAGAGGATTGAGGGCCTCCAAGTTATGCTTAAGTGACTCTGTCAAAGACTGTAAATTTTTTACACCTATATGAACTTTACTAACTGATGTAATTTTGTCCTGTAAAGCCTCCATATCATGAGAAATATCGTTATCTCTCCAAACTCCTAACAGATGATTTTTGGTGGCATTCCAATTAAAAGAAGAATTATATTTTAAAGGAGTAACACAGATATAATTAAAACTAGCATGACATTTAACTGAAAGTTGTATTTTTAAATTTTGAACATCCTGACCTATAGCCAGAACCGCTTCCTCCAGAGCATTTATTTTCATTTCTAACTTTTTATCTATAATTTGTTGTTCTGCTAGGGCTAATGTAACATTTTTGCTTAAATTATTAACAAAATGAGCAGTATTTACTTCATTTACTAAGGCTGCTGTAGAAATTACTAAAGAGGTAATTATTGTTATTAAAGCACTTATTCCTAAAATCAAGGCTGCAACAAAGCGTTTTGGCCGCAACACCCGGGTCTTCTCCTAGCTTGCCAGTCAGGCAGTATTCTCTGCTCCATCTGGTATGTTTTGCTAAGGGGAAATTTCCCCTTATGGAAGCTAGAAAAGAGATAAGAAATGCCTCTTCAAGATGCGTTGTAGGGTTGGGAATGTGGCTTAGTTGTAGTGTGCTTGCCTAGAATGCATGAAGCCTTGGGTTCGATTCCTCAGTATCACATAAACAGAAAAAGCCAAAAGTGGCCCTGTGGCTCAAATGGTAGAGTTCTAGCCTTGAGCAAAAGAAGCTCAGGGACAGTGCCCAGGCCCTGAATTCAAGCACCAGGACTGGCAAAAAAAAAAAAAAAGGATGTATTGTACTCATAAACTAACAATGTAACATGTTGAATAATATTCCCTTTGTACAACTACTTAAAGATAATAAAATATATTTTTTAAAGAAGAAATGTCTTCTAAAAAGGGAGATAGAAGAGCAGGGAACACAACTTTATGTCTGCTTGGGTGACCAAAGATGTGTTTAATTTGGAGAATTTGTCTTGAGAACAATCTTAGAGATCCACAGTAGTCACATTTCAATTATAGAGATATGTATGATAAGGGAATAACTAAGAGCTATTGCTAATGTCAGGTTAATGAGAAGTTGGGCTTTAGTAGTAGTGAGAGCCTCTCAGGAGCTTCAAAAGTAAGAGGCATAGTGGGGAACACCTGTTGTCCTAGCTCAAGCAAGAGGTTATCTAACGCCCAGGAACTAGAGACCAGCTGGACAAAATAGTGGGAATCTCTTTTATAAGAAAAGTCTGAGAGTGCACAGACTCAGAAAGAAGCAGGCTGAGATACGTAGCCGATAACAGTAAGGAGGATTTTTAAAAAGCAAGCCTTAACAGGCAGAATAGAATATTTAAGGAAACTACTAAGCCTTTGTCACAAGCTCTAGCAGGGTGGAATATTAGGGAACATGGAACACTTAAGATCAGAGACTAAAAGCAACAGGGAAATGATAGATATGCCTCTCTTTCCCACAGAGCAAGGGAAGCTTATCGCTCAAGCCATTTCCTAGAGAGGATCTATGTTTTCTGGAGTACAAAATGGTTTCAGTTTAATATGTCCATTTAGGTGTACAACACACTTTGATCTGAGTCACCCCTTCCATCATTCTCCCTATCCTATTTATCCCTTCCCACCCATCTCATTTCCTAGTTCAGTTTTCACAGATGTACATTGCTGTATCTACCTACCCTTCCTCCTTTTTTATTCATCTTTCCCATTCCCTTAGCTCCTCACCCCTCCCAGTCAAGATATGTTTCAGCTTTCTGGTGTTCATATTGTTGAACTGCCTGTCAGTTGTTCAAAGAAGTTACACTGTGGACTCTCCCTCCTGCATATACTGTCCTTTGGTCAGTTTCATGTATATATACATATGGTCCCATATGTTTTCACATATGCTTACGTTTTAGGTCTAACCCACATATGAGAGAAAATATATAAAACTAAAAATGGATAGATTTGTTTCTAGTAAAGACTAAGTGTATCAGGCCCTGGGCATTTCAAAGCTTATCATATCATTGTGTGTTATTTGCAAAACAGTTAAAACATCATTAAAGTGTTGAGGTAGGTTAGTGTTCATTGAAATTATTTTTAATTTATTATTACATGAAAAAATACTGTTTTAGGTCCACATTATTTCATTATCCATTTTTAACAGACTGCATCTGAAAGTATCTTTTAGTATTAAACTGAGTAGAAAGAAATAAATGAATTAATACAAAGTAGGAAAGATGATTTTTCTTTTAATGTGTACAGACCTTTAATGTTCCTACAATTGTTTTTTTTAAGCATAATACTAAGTATATATACACAAATAAAAGTAAGTAACTTTCTTAAGCTTTTTTTTTTTCTCAAAATGGGCTTTGTAGCCTGGGCGCTGGTGGCTCACGCCTGTAATCCTAGCTACTCAGGAGGCTGAGATCTGAGGATCGCAGTTCAAAGCCAACCCCGGGCAGGAGAGACTGTGAGACTCCTATCTCCAGTAAACCACCAGAAAACCGGAAGTGGCACTGTAGCTCAAGTGGTAGAGCGCTCGCCTTAAGCTGAAGAGCTGAGGGACAGCGCCCAGGCCCAGAGTTAAAAAAAAAAAAAAGGGCTTTGTGTATACTCATTTCCCCTGAGCCAGGGCCTACCTTCATCGTACCTTGGCCCAGGAGCAAAGCTTCCCTTCTACTTCATGTGCATTCTAGTGAATGTATTCTACACTCAAACCAAGTGCTATTTTTCCCCCCTCTAGAGCCTCAGACTTTTCCTCCACTCAGAGCTTCCCCTACTGGCCTGCATTGTCTGCCTTTGCATCGTCTCTCTGAAAGACATAGGTTCCAGGATCAAGCTTGGAATAGTTATATATTTTCATCACAAGTAGTCACCTGGTTTGTTTCTTTCCCCCTGAGCAGGACTTCCAGTTCTTCAACCTGATGTGATTTTTCAGTTGAAGAAAGGGGACATGTCATGGAAGGAGGGTCTTCATGGATCTGAGGAGAAAGAGTGTCCAGAGAGTCTCGCTCTAGGTAATGAACAGGATGAAGTAGTTTTGGTTTATGTTTGTGACTTTGGAGGGAACCCAGAATATTGCATATCACCTTTTGTTTCCTCAAAGTGTTATCTGAGTATTTTGAATTTATTATTTGTTTACTATTTTTTTGTGCTAGTTATGAGGCTTGAACTCAGAGGCTGGGTGCCATCCCTGAGCTTTTTTGCTCAAGGCTAGTGCTCTACCACTTGACCCACAGCTCTACTCCCACCATTTTTTGGTGGTGGGGGGTGCATAATTAGAGATAAAGGTCTCAAGGACTTTCTGGGATGGCTTTGAATTGAGATCCTCAGATCTCAGCACTACCAGTGTCTGGCTTAAGTATTTCTTTTGTATTGTCCGTCAACTTTCTCTTTCCCCTCTACACCTTAAGGGGACAGTATTATTTGTCTATATTCACCAATTGTATATGTTCTTAAGTATTTCCCACTTCCCACTCATATTTTGATATTGTCCCTCAACCTCTTCACCCCACCTACATCTAATTATCCTGTCCTGCTTCCTATAGACATTGTCCTATTCTGTGGTCTCTTCCTTTCCTCTTCCTCTTTCCTGAACCTCAGGCTTTCCCTAGAATGTAGGAACAAGTAGTGCCAGGACCATGCATTATTTTCAGATCCATTAGGGTATCTCTTCTTTCCCCTACAATATTTTCTGGCCCAGAGATAGTGCCTTTTTGTTTTCTCTTTGTTCTAGTATGGAAGACTAAGCCTGACCTTCAAGATGCTTCAGAAGAAGGAAAACTGAGGGAAAGTCTTGAAAGACAAAGTCCTCTGTGTCCTAAAATTGAAGTTCAAGCACCAGAGAGTGGGTTGAAAACAAAGAAGAAAAGCCTCTCAGTGGAACCTTGCAAGAAATCCTATTCCCAGGACAAAAGCTTGAAGAGAGGATCACCCAAGAAAGTCCTTACTAAAGATCGAGATCAGGAATGCAGTGATTGTGGGAAGACTTTCTTTGACCACTCATCACTCATCCGCCACCAGAGGACTCACACTGGAGAGAAGCCTTATAACTGTCCCGAGTGCAGGAAGGCCTTCAGTCACCGAAGCAGTCTCAGCAGACATTTGATGTCCCACACTGGGGAGAGCCCCTATGAGTGCAGCGTGTGTGGCAAGGCCTTCTTTGACCGGTCATCCCTAACTGTACATCAGCGGATTCACACAGGAGAGAAGCCCTTTAAGTGCAGCGAGTGTGGAAAAGCCTTCTTTGACCGGTCATCCCTTACTCGACACCAGAGAATTCATACTGGAGAAAGTCCTTATGAATGTCATCAGTGTGGGAAAGCCTTTAGCCAGAAGAGCATTCTCACTCGCCATCAGCTGATCCACACTGGCAGGAAGCCGTATGAGTGCAATGAGTGTGGGAGAGCCTTCTATGGTGTCTCCTCGCTGAACAGACACCAGAAAGCTCATGCTGGGGAGCCGCGCTATCAGTGTAATGAGTGTGGCAAAGCATTCTTTGAACGCTCTTCCCTCACACAACATCAGAAGATCCATACCGGAGACAAGCCATATGAATGCAGCCAGTGTGGGAAAGCCTTCAGCCAGAGGTGCCGGCTCACGCGACATCAGAGAGTACATACAGGAGAGAAGCCCTTTGAGTGCAGTGTGTGTGGGAAAGTTTTCAGCTCAAAATCATCTGTGATTCAACACCAGAGGCGTTATGCCAAACAGGGAATAGACTGAGTTGGGTTGAAGCTCCAGTCAGACCAAAAAAAAAAACCTCTCCATAAACTTAAGATAGGTCTTCCTGTCGTAAACAAACCTGACATCTGCTCATTCTGCCCATTCTGGCCACTGCCTGTGTATCATGAGTGTTAGAGCAGACATCCTGTACCTACTATGTTGCAGAACAAGCATGAGGTGTGCAAGTGAGGAAATGACTCTACATTCCAAAATTGGGAAAGGGACTGGAGTGTTTCTCAATGGTAGAACATTGTGTAGCTTGTGGGAAGCCCTGCGTTTCATCTCTAGCACTGAAAAAAAAAAAAGGAAACATTATCAAACAATAGGATAGATGTTAGCAGTGGATCCTCACACATACCTCCTGTCAGAACCTCAGCCCTAAGGAATCCCTGCACTTTAAATAACTAGAAACTCCTACAGGAAGAGAAAGGCACAATTAATAGATGGCAGGAGTATTTCTTCCAGAGAGATATTCACAACTCCACTGCTAGCGTTTTGGTAGTTAATTGGAGAGAGGAGTCTCATAGACTTTGCCTGCATGGGCTGGCTTCAAACCCCATCCTCAGATATCAGCCTCCTGAGAAGGGTTGCAAGCATAAGCCATCAGAGAAAGTCTTTTTCTCTTTGCCACTATGCTCTAGTTTTATAATCTACATACATATGTTGCTTCCAACTAGATTGTAAGCACTTGGAGGTATGACTTACAGGTCTATATCTCATAGAGTACCTTGTAAATAGTAGGTGCTCATTATTTACAGTCTGCCTTAATGTGCCCCTCGCCACACACACCAAACTTGACATCCTGACTCAGAATTCTTGTGGTACCTCAGCCCAGCTCTACATTTTTATTTTATTGACTCAGGCACTAAGCAATCTTTACTCTAAGTATCTGTATTCTTTTTCTAGTCACATAAGGTGAAACATTAAAAAAAACAAACACATGTTTTTGAAAACTCTGGAATTAAATTCCATGAATCCTGATGGATATTAAAGTAGATTTTTCCCAGAAGGGAAAGATCCAGGAAGTTGATTTGCCAAACAGATCCCTCACAGCCTAACACATCTAAATCATTGTACGTGTGTGTGTGTGTTTGTGTGTGTGTGAGACAGCGAGAGGAGAGAGAGAGAGAGAGAGTTGAACTCCAGGCTTTACACTCTTGCTCAGTTTTTTCTGGGGCTCATGCCCTCAGCTTTTCTGCTGAAGGCTGGTGCTCTACCATTTGAGCCACATCTCTACTTCCAACTTTATGCTTGTTAAATGGGTTAACAGTCTCATGGATTTGTCTGCTCTGGCCGGCTTTGAACTTTCTCAGGTTTCAGCCTCCTGAGTAGCTAGGATTATAGGTGTGAGCTACTAGCACCCAGCAAGCCTACAAATCTTAAGTCTGCCTTAGAGCACATGAATGGCAGGGAATACTTTTCATGTATGGACTTTTGTAGCAGCTTGGAGAAAAAAATGTCATAGAATCTATGGGTGTAGATAATATATTGTTTAATAATATCAAATAGAAAATAAAAGACTTGACAAACTTGGCTCTTGACTATCTCTGATATTATAACCTTTCATTTATTGCTTTGTTAAAAATAGAGGGATCAGCTGGGCACCAGTGGCTTATGTTTGTAATCCTAGCTACTCAGGAAGCTGAGAGCTGAGGATCGAGGTTCAAAGCCAGCCCAGTCAGGAACCACCAGAAAACCGCAAGTGGTGCTGTAACCGACCAAAAAACAAAAACAAATTTGAAGGATTATGGTTTGAAGCCAGCCCTAGCAGAACAGTCTGTGAGATGCTTATCTCCACTAAACTACCAAAAAAGCTAGAACTGGAGCTGTGGCAAAAGTGGTAGAGTGCTAACCTTGAGCAATACTAGCTCAGGTACAGTGCCCAGGTCCTGAGTTCAAGCCTCAGCAGGAGCAATAGAGGGTCAAGTATTTCTCTTAAGATATTCTATGATTATCAGCAAGATGAGATCAAAACAAATTCAGAATTTGAATGGACTTGAGTATAGTTATAGTTGAAACCAACTGTTCTATTTGTTCTATTTAAATTTTATGTAAAGCTTTTTTTTTTTTTAGTTTTTATTTTTTTGCCAGTCCTGGGGCTTGAACTCTGGGCCTGGGCACTGTCCCTGAGCTTTTGCTCAAGGCTAGTATTCTACCACTTGAGCCACAGCGCCACTTCCGGCTTTTTTGAGTTGTTTATTGGAGATAGTCTCATGGACTTTCCTGCTTGGGGTGGCTTTGAAAATACCCCAGGACATGATAAATTATACAAGACTCTAGTCGCTCAAGTGAGATCAAAGGATACTCTTAGGGGAGGAACATGAAGGTGCAATGCCCATGTGCCTCTGAGCATTGAAAATAGTATTTGTTGAAATGAACTCCAAGAAATGGAAATGAAGTGGGTGTTTTGTTGTTGTTGTTTTGTCAGTCTTGGGACTTGAACGCTGGGCTTGGGCGCTGTCCCTGTGCTCTTCAGCTCAAAGCGAGCACTCTACCGCTTGAGCCACAGCACCACTTTGGGTTTTCTAGTGGTTTATTGGAGATAAGAGTCTCATGGACTTTCTTTGCCCGGGCTGGCTTTGAACTATGATCTTCAGATCTCAGCCTCCTAAGTAGCTAGGATTGCAGGCATGAGCCACCAGCACCTGGCGAAATGAGCTTTGTTTCTTTGGTGTTATTTCTGTTTTCTTTCTGTCTGGTTTGTAGGGAGGGTAGTGAGGGCACAGAACTTGAGGGAAAAAGGGTGAAAAAGAATGGCAATGGTACTAGATACATTGGTGAAAATGAACTATACAACTTGTGGGTAAGGATGGGAGGGAAAATGGAGAGTGAGGGAAGGGGTAACACTGTCAAAAAGTGTACTCATTATAATTGACTTATTAACCCCTTTGTACATCATCTTTAACAATATTTTTTTTAACAGAGGCAACAGTGTGTGTGTGTGTGTGTGTGTGTGTGTGTGTGTGTGTGTGTGTGTTGGTCTTCAGCCTTGAAATCAGGGCCTGGTCACAATCCCCGAGCTTTTTTTGCTCAAGGCTAGTGCTCTATCCCTTGAGCGACAGCTCCACTTCCAAATTTTTGCTGGTTAATTGGAGCTAAGAATCTCAAGGACTTTCCTGCCACAGCTGAATTCAAACTTCAATCCCCAGGTATCAGCCTCCTGGGTAGCTAGGAATGCAGGTGTGAGCCACTGGTGCTGGCTGACAATTTTGTGTGTAGGTTTGTATCAGTCCTGGGCTTGAATTCAAGGCCTGGCCACTGTCCCTGAACCCTTTTGCTCAAGACTAGCTCCCTACCACTTGAGCCACAGCTCTACGTCTAGCTTTTGGGTGGTTAATTGGAAATAAGAGTCTCACATCCATTTCTGCCTCTTGAGTAATTAAGATATCAATTTAGACAATTTTTAAAATGAGAGGAATCCATGAGACAATGATAGACTTTCTTAGACTGCCTTAGATTAACCAAAATAACAAGTGGAAGAAGGAGGGGATTCAGTCTCAATGTTAATGTTCACTTTGGATATTAGGTGGTGAGTTCTTGGTGTTTTAGTTTTGTCTGTGTACATGTGCGTGCGTGCGTGTGTGCATGTGTGTGTGTGTGTGTGTGTGTGGTGCTGCGGGGCTTGTGCTAGATGTCAAAGCCAGGGCCTCATGCCATGTAGGCATCCTAATGCATTAATTAATTAATACATAGAGAGGAGCTAGTGGCTGATGCCTACATTCCTAGCTACTCAGAAGGCTAAAATCTGAAGTATAGCAGTTCGAGGCCAGTGTATGCAGAAAAGTTTGCTAGATTCCATCTACAAAACAACCAGCAAAAAGTAGGATTGGAGACATGGCTCAGTTGGGAGAACACCAGCCCAGCAAGCATGAGGCCCTGAGTTCCAACCCTAGTATTTCCCCCAAACAAAACAACAAATAACACTAAATATAAAAATATAGAAAAAATAAAGGCTTTGCTTTAAAAATGCCACTACTTTAAACTGTTTAAAGCTGAAGGCATCATAATTTATTTTTTAAAGGTTTTAAAAAAATGGACATTGACATTTACAAATATTAATGCTTTATATCAAATTTTTAATGCTCTTCTAGTTGGACTTTTAGTTTCATCACAAAGAAAATTAAGAGCTGGAAATTTATCACGAAAAAATAGAAAATGACAGCATGGTATTGTCTGTAAGGTACAGAACCTTCTTCACGTTCTGCTCTCCTAGGCCAATACTTTCCCTCAACCCAGAAGAACACTAATTGCTCCTTGGGGCTGTTCCAGATATTTATCAGGGAATGAATAAATTAACCTCTTCAAATAGATCTGTTTCAGATTTTCTAGTTGCTCCTACCTTCCTTCCATACAGGGATAGCCTTCAGTAACAGGAATGGTTTTAAGGAAAGCCTGAGTCTCACACTTGAATGCAGTGAATGTGGAAAACCTTTCCATGAGCAATGGCTTAACCCTTACTGAGCCTCAGTGAACTCATAGTGGAAATATGCTTTTTCAGCTTAGTGAGCGTGGTAAAACCTTCCAAGTTTATTCATCTTTTACTCAACCTCAGAGATTCATACTGGAGAAAATCTTTGTTAATGTATAGAGTGCGGGCAGTTTTCTTACTTTTTAGCAAGAAATGTATTCTGCTTACTATGAGGTCACTTGCATTGGAGAGCTGTTTTATGAATGCAAGGGGAGTAGCAAAGCTGGTAGTCCAAATTCCATAGGAAATAGAGGCTAAGGCAAGGATTAAGAGCTGCCTGTTTATGAGGTACAAATCCAGAGCAGCTAAAAGGAGAAAAATGAAATAAAGCAAGGAGAAATGTAAGAAAAGCAAGTTGACCCATTACCCATTGGCCTCTACTTCCTAAGCTGAAGAGAAAGATCATGTAGCAGGCCCATCTGTGTGGTTCTATCAGAAGTCTCCCAATAGTCTGTGTGGAATAACCATTCTGTAGAACATCTGATGATCTCAGGGAAGAGAAGGAACTTATCTAATCAGCTCCCTCAGCTTCAAATTATACCATCCAGCCTAGTTTCTTATGGAAAATAGGTTCTACAACCCATTGTGTGGCAAACAAAAATGGTACAAGGAGCCAAAATCCTGAGGTATGCACCTGCTGGGCCTATGGCTGTCAAGGGGGAGAGCCTGACACTCCCATGCAGGTAACCATCCTGCGTAGGTGATGCAGGCTGAGGTGGTTCCTGGGCTCTGGCAGGAAGTGGCTGGAGCAAACTGGCTGAGGGTCTGTGACTTGCCACCAACATGTGTTTGATATAGTCCCTGTGGTTTCACACCAAGCTCAACTTGCTGTCTTAAGTCTGACTTCTTCTCTTACTGAAACTTTAGCATCTCTCCCTTCAGTTAAAACTCATGTCTCCCCCAATCTTTTTTTTCTTCTTTTACTTACATTTTAAAAGTTTTATTGTAAATATGCTGTATAGAGGGGTTACAGTTACATGAGTAAGTAATGAGTACATTTCTTATCAAGCATTGTTACCTTCTTCTTTGGTGTTCTCCTACTATCCTCTCCCTCCCACTTCTCCCCCATCCCAAGTTGTAAAGTTCATTTCCAACCTATTGTCTTGTGAGTATCACTGTTGCCTTGGTTCACCCTTTATCCTTGTTTCACCATCTTGTTATTCCCCTTCCTTTTCCTTCCCCAAACCAGATAAACATATATATATATATATATATATATATATATATATATATATGATGCAGAGTACCAGAATCAAAAACAGTGACTACTGGAGATAAACCAAAGGGAACAATAAAAATAAATAAAAAGAAAGAATTTGATACAGTGCATTGACAACAAGGTCAACAACAATAACAAAACCTCTTGAGGGGTCTTCCAAATCATCATTGCTACCTCAATCTACAAGCTAAAAGTTCATTTCTCAAATGATGTTATGGAATTCTATTTCATTTTGATAAATTCTTAGTCTTTGCTTTGGATAGTCTTTGAAAGTTCAAGAACCACTAGGCAGCATGTCATTTTATGACATGCGTGGAGTCTTAGCAGCCCAGTGTGGAGCCAGCAGGAGCTGCTAACTCAGGACTAGAACCCGGTGTCCTGGCTCACAGTGACCTTTCTGTGTGCCTGGTTATTGAGGGTCTGCCTGGAGAGGCAGTCGTTTCCCAGTATTGG